GCTCATGTGAACATCTTGAGGCTGCTTTTAACTGGATTTTATTAATTTTGTCGACTTCACAACTGGGCGTTTCTGTATGCCAACAACTTAGGTTATATATACAAATACGTCTACTAACCTTGCAATAAATGTGCACAACTTTACAATCACTTTGAATAACTTTGCACGGTGCGTTAACAGCTTAAATATCACTACGCACCGACAGCATCAACAACTTGTTCTTGAAATTAGGAGGAATTTGAAAACTTTCCATTAATTAAAAAAGTTACAGAAATTCCACTATAGATGATTGAAATCACAGTAAGAAATAATGCAGGGACGTTGCCTTATATCTTTTCCACATATGTGATGAAACAATGAAAATTAAATAAACAGCTCGTTTACTCAGGGAATCTCCCATGCACGTACTATCCACGCCCGATTGTGCTTTACTTTAAACATTTGTCGGACACAGCTGCATAGAGTACTTGTAATTAGGCCGAATTGGCATCTATTTCATGTCTGGCTGATTTAAAATCGATATCGCTTGCACAAGTACCTTCTAGAATTGTCCTTTGACCTCTATATACTTGCAGTAACACTACGGTAATTTAACACCATTTCACGAAATATTTATTCATATTTTCGAACTTTTAACTATGGGACTTGTTAATATGGTATCACAGGTGGCAATGCCGAATAAAAACTACCAACTTTGCAATCGCTTTTCACAACTTTGTAAGCAGTTTGTTGTCGATTTGTCGGTTGACTGTTGTGATATTATGCTTATATATGAGGCATTCTCGGAACATTTACTTAATTTTCTCGAAATTTAACTGCGGGGTTGTCATGATAGTGACTTAAGTTAAATAGACAAGCAACGCCACCAACATTTCCTTCGTTTTATCCAACTTTGCAGGCTGTTTGTTTACATTTTACAGTCAGCTCATGTGAACATCTATTGTACGAGGCGCGGAATGTAAATTTATTATTTTGTGTATACTAGAATAAAACTGTCTAATAATTCAAAATTACGTACGTATTGGAGACCGTGGCGTGTGTGTTTTAAAATGATGTGTGCATTTTTAAAACGGCGTGACTCTGCGTTTTAATGGTGTGTGTTTCAAAGTGACTGATGTGTGTATGTATTCATTAAATGTATGTGCATTAAAAAATGATGTGTGTATTTTAAATGGCGTTTGTATTTTAAAAAATATGTGTGTTTAAAAAATGAAGTTTTAAAAATTATGTATGTTTAAAAAAATATATGTATATTAAAATGATGTGTGCATTTTAAAATGTGTGTATTAAATGACGTGTGTTTAAAAACGACGTGTGTTTTTCAAAATGTCGTGTGTGTTTTAAAAATTATGTGTATATTAAAATGACGTGTGTGTTTTAAAATTATATGTATATTAAAATGACGTGTGTATTAAAGATGTGTATATTAAATGACGTGTGTTTAAAAACGACGTGTGTGTTTTAAAATGACGTGTGTGTTTTAAAAATTATATGTATATTAAAATGACGTGTGTGTTTTATAATAACGTGTGTTTAAAAACGACGTGTGTGTTGAAAACTGACGTGTTTTTTTTTAAATCACGTGTGTGAGGTCGAATGAAAATGTGTGTGTGTAAAAAGAAAAAAACGCGTGCATTAACCTTTTTACGCCTGTAGGAGGCGTTATTTTCGAATGA